CGCGTCGCAGCTCGCCCCCCGGTGGCAAGGCTCCGGCGGGGGGGTGGGGCGGCGCTGGCCGCGCCGGCACGCGCCGGCCGGGCACGCGCCGCGATGCCGAAGGCGAAGGCGCCCGAGACGCTGCTCGCAGGCGGCGGCCCCAGCGAGCGGGGCGAGGAGGAGGAGGAGACGCCAGTCCTCCGACGACATCTCCTTCCCTCGGAAGAGGGGCCAAGGAGGAGAGGGGGCGAGGCGAGGGAGGATGCGGTGGAGGAGGGAGGATGGATGGATGGATGGACGGAGGAGCCCGAGGAGGAGGAGGAGGAGGAGCCCGAGGAGAGGAGGAGGAGGAGGTGGAGGAGGAGAAGGAGGAGGAGGAGGACGAGGAGGAGTAGAATTAGGGAGGATGAGGAGAAGGAGGAGATGAGGTTCGCATCGTCACACTTACACTACTCCGCTGGTGGGCTTCCTTCTCCCTCCCCGTCCTCGTCCTTCTGCTCCTCTTCCTCTCGCCCTCCCTCCACAACTATTCTTAATTACGCATTCGATCTGAATACGACCTTCCTCCCTTCCCCGAAGATGGCCGAGGAGCACCCCCCCCCTCGCGTGTTTTCGTGTATTGTTCTCACGCGCAGGATTCGATTCCCCAATCAGTGCTTGCGCTGAAGGGGTCCTAGCGGAAGTTGAAAGACTTGGCGAAAGTTTCCCGCCGATTTTGGCAGCAGGCTGGGTTCCCGGGTTCCCGGTTCTGGGTTCCCGGGTTCCCAGTTATTGGTTCCGGGCCGATTTCGGTGGGTTCTGGGTTCCCGGGCTCCCGGGTTCCTGGTCGACCTCCTCAGCGAAAACCATCTTTCGATTGGGGTCTTTTTGTGGTGTGATTCTGTAGTATTTACTATTTCTCTCAGCCATCCTGTGGTGTTGGGTTCTCGTTTTAGAGAGGCAGCGCCCCGCGTCTCCTCCTTGCTCCTCGTCCTCCTTCCCCCTCCCCCTTCCTCCATCCTCCCATCCATGCCTCTGATCTCCGCATGCCCATTTCTGCGCCCCCCTCGCACGCCTCGTGGCTCCGTAGGGAGCTCCACCTGAGGCCCCAGTGGCAGGGACCGCATGCAGTTCTGCCCCAGATTTCGGCGCACTCCTTATGAGTTCCATGGTCCCGTAGAGGGCTCCACTGAATGCCCCAGTGGCCTGGTGCGTCTGGTCCCCCAGAGAGGTCTGGGAACTTTTTCAGCCTGTGGACAAAATGCTACTCGGGTCGATGTTTCTCCCTTTGGTCGGAGAATTCAGGCGTGACGTCTCGCGCAAACGCACATGTCGATATGAAGCGACAGGCGGTCTTCATCGTCTCGGCGCGCGGACGGGCCCAGAGGTTCGGTGGAGGAAGCTTCGGTGAGCCCGGGGTGTGGGGGTAAGTCGGATCTGTCCCCCTACAGGGGGATTTTCGACGAAAAATAACACATACCCGATAAATAGTCCAAAAATAGTCCAAACATAGCCTGGGGACTATTTTTGGGGTATGTTTTTGACCCTTTTAGGGCATTTTTGGTGTATTTTTTATTTATCGTCGAAAATCTCCCTGTAGGGGGACAGGCCCGACTTATAAGTGTGGGGGAGGGGAGCTCGAGGCGCCCACGGGCCTCGCGGGTCCTCCTGGAGCTCTCCTGGACCGTCGGGGGGCCTCGTGGTCCGTTCAGCGGCCATCGTGGGCCCTCTCCAAGGCCGCCCGAGGCTTATGTCGGGCCTGTCCCCCTGCAGGGGGATTTTCGACCAAAAATACAAAATACCCCCAAAATGACCCCAAAAGGTCAAAAGATATCCAACAAATAGTCCCCAGACTATTTGGGTGGGCCCTTTAGGGGGGCAGGCCCGACTTAACCCGAGGCCGTCTCGCAGGCATCGTGGGGCGTCTTGCCTACGAGAGCGCGGGTCCCTGGTTCTTCTACATGGGATCGCGGCCTCGGGCGTGCAGCTCCGGTGCCTTCTAAGAGGAGCGGGGCCGTCGGGAGGGGGGGGGGCGCATGCGTCGGCATGTGCTACTGCAGGTGCCGTGCTGGACAGTCGACTGGCATGCCATTCGCGCCGGCGCTGCGCAGGCGCGGCGGCCGAACTGCGATGGACACGGTGTGCCGCACGCGCAAGGGGTGGCTCTGGGGATACACATCTTTCTGCTAGGCAGTAGTCGAAGCTCTTGGAGAGCTTTGGCCAACGCCTTGCCCAAGCCGTTTGGTGTGCAGCTGTACACGAAGTCGCATATCTTGCCGGTATGTGTTGGGGATCTGGTGTCCTCAGAATATTTGGACAGCCGCGATACACTTCAAGACGGCTTTCGATTGCGTTCGTCACCAAATACGATGGGAAGCGCTACGCGATCAGGACGTGCGATCGCCTTACCTAGTTTACCACCGAAAATCTACAGTGAGCAGATTGCGACAGTAAGGATTGACGTCACGAGCAGGGAAATCAGCAGTGAACGAATCTTTAAACAAGGCGACCCTCTCAGTTCTTACTTACTTGTTCAATGCGCTGCTCGAGCACACGTTCTGGCAACGCAAATCAGAATGCATTGGTATTGGATTTCGGCATGTCAAATCCACACTTCTTATACACTTTCGGTTTGCCGTCCACGTGCATCTACTGTCGCCCAGCTTACGGCATACGAAGTGTATGGTCCGCAACCTCAAAGAGCCAGCCTCGAATTGTGCGTTTGAGTTGCGCCCAGGCAGGATCGAAGTCCCAACGAATGTGAGCCGTGGCAGGGACAAACAAATGTTCGCGTGGATATCGACAGCGACACGGACGAAAGCATAAACCACCAGCGCAGCACTACGTGTCTTGATCGGAGGCTTCGCTCCGCGTTTTTCACGGCACCGAGCTCGCCAGCATATTCGCGATGGAATGGCGCAACTTTAACACATTCCGCGACGAATCAACGTGCACACGGTATCCGCTCCACAACATACTCCGGTTTTTCAACGGCGCAGTGGCGCCATTTGTTTTGTGCGGCTGCGCATCGTGGACTCTTATCATAGACACGCTGAGGACATTGCGATATGCGCGTCGACGAAATTTACGACTCAGGGTGATCACTCCTCGGCGCTGGGAGATCACGCAACAAAACCCACCAGCCGACGCCGAGACCCAGTCAACCCTCCGCACAGCGACGACAGCAGGAAGACTCCAGACGGTACGACCGACGCCAGAGGACAAACTGAGGTCGACGACGTCGAGGACGATCGGGGCCTCGAGCCGTGGGGAGGGGGGTGGATTTCGCAGAGCTGCAGACACGGCGACAGAGCTCGCCACCCGCTCTCACGCATCCGAGAGGGCCACACGATATCGCAAGTGCACACGGCGACGGCCAGAGCTAGTAGCAGCACAATCGCCCGACAGGTTGGGATCTTGAAGTCCACGGCACTCGTCCAGCAAGGTGCAGACGTGGCGGGCGACGCAAACGTTGGTGCGGCGACGTGTCACGATTCATACACCATCCCGCAGAGGAGGACACCGAACGCTGGTTGGAGTATGCTTGTGATCAGATCGTGTGGGACAGTTGGAGGCAAACCGTCCTCCAGCACATGCAGTGAAGGGGCCCCGGCCCGGCCCACCCGCGCTGCCCCCCAGGGGCCCGCCGGGCGGCCAGTCCGTGGACTCGGCGCGCCCCGCCCCGAGCCGCTCCGCTCGCGCGCTTTTCGTGGCCCCCAGAGGAGCTCCACCGCAAGCCTGGGCGGCTGTGTTCGCATGGTGCACCCGCGCCCGGGTCGGCACACCTCTCTCGGGCCGGGCGAAAGGGGGGGATTGGGAAAGGGGGGGTGACGAAATTTGCTGCATGCAGCTACGTGAGCTGATTCTCAAACCCCCCCTTTCCCAGCGGCCCCTTTCGCCCGACCCGACTCTCCCACGCGGCCCCATGGGGAACTCCACCGAGGGCCCCAGTGGCTTCGCTCGCACGGCGTGCCCGCCCCCGGTTCGGCACACCACTGACACGCTGCGCGGCCTCAATACGGAGCCGCCCCTCGCTCGTCCCGCCCGCCTTGCGGGACCCGCTCGCGTATGGTCGGGTCATTCGCAGGTGTGGTTTTTGATCGTGGTGCTTTGGCTGTTTGTTTTGCTGTTTTTTTTGTTGCTGCGCGCACAACTTCACACACACACACCCATTCCATCCCAGCACACACTCTCACACATTCACACATTCACACATTCACGCATTCACACACAGTTTGTGGTCTTGTGTTCTGTAAGGCCCAAGGGGGCCCCCGACACCTGGCCTCTGGGCTCTCCGTGGGGGTGCCGGCCCTCCTTTCGCGCCCAGACGAGCCCCTCCCCCCCCCGAGCGCCGAAGAGCCGCGCAAGACGGCGCAAGAGGCACCCAAGATGGCCCAAGGGACGCCCAAGAGAAGCCCAAGAGGCAGAGGAGGAAACGTATACCCATACCTCTGCCCTTTTGCCGTTTTCCCCTTCTTGGGCCTCCTCGCAGGATCGCGTCGCCACCGCTGGATTCGCCTCGAACTTCTGGTCAGAACGCGCACCAGGAGAGGTTGAGGGAGTAAAGGTATCCGTACCTTTTGGTTTCCCCAAAGAGGGGCCCGAGTGCGCCCAAGAGGCCCCGAGTTTGCCCAATACGGTCTCAAGACGGCTCGCGAGGCTCCCAAGGCGCTATACATGGGACCCAAGAGGACCCCCGAGAGGGTAAACAATTGTGATTTCCAATAGGTTGTTGGAGGATTTTCAGGTTCCCCCTTTTTCGAGCCAAGCGCGGCTCAAGACGGCTCTGACGGCCTCTGAGATCGCGCCAAGACAGCCCAAGGGGCCCCAACAACCGCCTCAAGACGGCCCAAGAGGCCCCCAAGACGGCCCCAAGACCGCCCAAGAGACCCCCAACAATGCCCCAGAGGGCCCCAAGGAAGCCCCAGCAGGGCCTGCATAGCCACTCTGGTTCAAGCCTACCACATCCGAGTCACTCCCTTGCTGGAGCTGCCAACTCTGCCGAGCCTGTGGCACTGACCACCCGCGGCGCCCAGAGAGCTATGCCGCAGGCCGGCCCGCTGGCTCTCCTGCCCCTTGCCTGCCTGCTCCGCGCAGGATCCGCAGCCCGGTCTTCGGGAGACCTTGGCGCCCTTGAAGCTGACAGCGCGGCCAGCCTTGTCAGCGACAGCGATGGCGACAAGTGGCGCGTCTGCAACCCGTTCTCTTCCGAGGAGACGCGCAGGTATTACTTCCAGTCCGTGGAGGAGGACGGCGACCCCACGGCCATCGAGTTCGTGCGCCACAAGCGCTCCCCGAAGCTGATCTTCCACAAGCACAGCGAGTGGGCCGCGAAGTACGAGAGGTACATCGAGGCCGCGAGCCGAGACCATGGGCCCATGCCGAGCATGCTGCCGGAGTACCGGTCGACCTGGCTGCCGGTGAGCCCTCCGGGCTCCGAGCGGCCTGCTGAGAGCTCGACTCTGCGCCTGGGGGAGAAGTACGTGGACTACATCCGGTGCGTCCCGGTGGCCACCCCCGACGGGCCGACGTCGTGCGTTCTGGAGGTCGTGGGCCAGGGCATCACGAGCGAGCTCCTCGGGGGCCTGTACTGCCAGGGGGCCACGCGCGAGCCCTGCCCCCCACCACCCCACGAGTTCTCGGGGGGGGGAGGGGGGGGGATCTCTTCGCTCGGGAGGCCCCGGACGAAGTGAGCCTCGCCTGCCCCCCCTTGGACACCGTGGAGAGGTGGGGTAGGGCTCGCAGATGTGGCCCCCCGACTTCCCGGACTTCCTGGCCAGGCAGGCGCTGCGGCACTTCAAGAACGGCCGGGCGGGCGAGCTCCTGGCCCCGGACCCCAACTGCACCTCGGGGAACTTCGCCCTCCTGAGCTCGGAGGAGACCTTCCGTTGGTTCTGGGCAGAGGGGGCCTTTCGTAGTTCCAGCAGTGGCGGGGCGTCCTGGCTTGCCTACGGGCTCACCAGAGAATGTTCTAAGAACTTGTTGTGGCTTGCGCGAGATGTTCTTAGAGCATTTCTGGCTGGGGCTGTCTTCTTTTAACAAGCCGGCTTTATGGTCTCAGAACATTGTTGATGTTCTTAGAACATTTTCGGGTTCTTAGAGAATTTCGTGGTAGGCCTATAGGAATACCGGGACGGTCGGTCCCTGCTCAAGTAGTCGGGTCGCAAAATCAAGATGCATAGTTCATCCCGTGACGCATGAAGCGTGGCAGCCACGTGCCGATAATTGTTGCACGACGTGCGCATCCCGCACGAAAACGATTGCATGAGCTATCGCGTACCTTTTCGAGACCCCTTTTCTGCAAAGGACCCTCTCGCCTGGACCCGACTTCGTGGGCCTTGGGGGAACGACAGGGCCGTTTTGATACCGATTCCCCTCTGCCGTTTTTTTGTCCGCTTCTGGCGCAGTTGCTTCTCTGGTTCCGTCGCTGTTTTGTTGCCTGTTCCAGTTCCGGTTCCAATTCCAGAGCTGTTTTATCGCCATTTCCGATTGTCGTTTTTTTACCGCTTCCATTTTCAGGAGGCGCTGTTTCGGGAACGATGGCAAAACGGCCTCGCCGCTTCGGGGGGCCCCACTCAGGAGGAGACCAGTTGCCAATTGCGCGTCGCCGCTACAGTCGAAGCTGCACTTGCGGACGAGAGTTTTGATTCCAGCGGCTGGAAGCTCAAGGACTCTCGAAACATTAAGATGGGTGCCGTCATGGGTGGTGGGTTCATCATCGGCGGAGTCGTAGGAGGCCCCATCGGCGCAGTGATTGGAGGGGGGCTCTCTACCGCCGCGGTGGGAGTGAGCTCGCTGTACAAGTACCTCATCAGGCAGAAGGACATGGACCTCAGCGCGAGCGAGAAGATCTTCGAGAAGCTCCGCTGCATGAGCATCTTCAAGACCTGCAAAGGTGACGTCCTCGTCCCGAAGGGGCGGTCGTGCCCGGAGCTCTGAGCACAGCACCTGCGCGGGAGAGAGGGCACGGCCCCATGACATGCCTCAGCGCCGATCACAGCGATGAGGGTGATGGTGACGGTGCCTGCTGTCCTCCTCCTCCTCCTCCTCCTTCTCTTCGTGGCTATGGTATCGGGCTCGTCATCGTCATCGTCATCCTCATCGTCGTTCCTGGCAGCTGATCCTGTTGGTCGCACTCCCCGTCTGGGATGCTCACCAGGCCCCAGGCGCAACCCCGCTCTGCAGCTGTCCAGGGCCTGGCCACTGCGCCCAGCGGGGCCGCCCACACCAGCGCGCAACGGGGCTCGTTTCCACTCAAGGGCGCCGAAGCGACGCCGCCTTCTTTCCTTGCCGCGACGCTCTGACAGGCCGCCGTGCGCCGGGCGTGGCACAGCGTTGAGGCAACAGAAAGAGAGCCCCAGCAGGGCCCCAGGAGGCCCCTTAGAGAGCCCCACGACTGCTTGTCTCACGGCAGGTTGCGACAAGGTCACGGGAACCCGAATTGCGAGGAGTAGAAAAGAGAGCCCCAAGACGGCCACAGCCCGGCAAGGGGTCCGAGAACTGTTCAAAATTGCCCCAAGACGACCCCCATCAAGGCCCAAAGAGGCCAAACTTGTTTTTGACAGCTTTTAAGGCGGTCCAAGAGGCGCCTTGTCACAACGGGACGTGGGGCACTATCTTGAGGGATGCGGCCCCAACATGCCTCCAACACCTTTTGGGAAGCTTCCATTGCGCTTCCAGGAGGCCCCCAAAGGCTCCCGAGAGACCCCGAACACGCCCACCAGATTCCCCACGGGACCCCCAAGAGGCCCGCTCCCTAAAGGCTTCCAGGAGGCTTCCAGGAGATCTCCCAATTTGGCCTCCAGAAGCGTATGAGACGTCTTACGTCGACATCCTGCACGGCGTTCCCAGAGAGGCGCTCACGGGCCCCAACTCACGAGCCAATCTCCGGGCTCCCAGAGGCCAGTGAAAAACATGCCGCGAGGCCCAGAGAGGCACCCAAGACGCCCCGACCTCATGATCCAGGTCAGGTGTGTGTGTGTGTGTGAATGTGTGTGAATGTGTGTGCGTGTGTGAATGTGTGTGTGTGTGTGTGTGTGAACGTGTGTGTGTGTGAATGTGTGTGTGTGTGTGAATGTGTGTGTGTGTGTGAATGTGTGTGAATATGTGTGTGAATGTGTGTGTGTGTGTGTGAATGTGTGTGTGGATGTGTGTGTGAATGTGTGTGTGAATGTGTGTGTGTGTGTGTGAATGTGTGTGAATGTGTGTGAATGTGTGTGTGTGTGAATGTGTGTGTGTGTGTGTGAATGTGTGTGTGTGTGTGTGTGTGTGAATGTGTGTGAATGTGTGTGAAATTTTGTGTGTGAATGTGTGTGTGTGTGAATGTGTGTGTGTGTGACTTTGTGTGTGATTGTGCGTGTGTGAATGTGCGTGAATGTGTGTGAGAATGTTTGTGTGTGAATGTGTGTGTGTGAATGTGTGTGTGAATGTGTGTGTGAATGTGTGTGTGAATGTGTGTGAATGTGTGTGAATGTGTGTGGATGTGTGTGAATGTGTGTGAATGTGTGTGAATGTGTGTGTGTGTGTGTTGTGTGTGAATGTGTGTGAATGTGTGTGAATGTGTGTGTG